TTCCCGTGGTCCGCGCAGCAGAGAACGACGCCGTCCGAGCCAGAGCATGTTCTCCATCTCGAGCGCAGCTACCACTCCGCGCAGGTGGACAAGCGAGAGCAGTGGAAACAACGCGAAGCAGCGGAGGCAAAGCTTTTGCGCAAACAAACGGGAGGACGAACAGTTCGGGGACAAGACCGATCGCAGCCGGATAGAGGCACGCGCGGGCGAAACGCTTCTAAGCGCGACACGAGAGGTCAGCGGCGCGGGAAGAAAAGCTGGAAAAAGGTCCTGAAGCCCGGCGGGGAGAGAAAGAAATAAGAGTGGCTACGACAACGAAACTTCGAATTGGTTTCGGACGAAGGAGTAACAGCGCCGTTTGCAATAAACACCAGCCGGGCGGGACGCTGCTGTCAATTATTGCAAGAAGCATTGGAGGACTTGAATTTCTTTTCCGTGGCGAGACAGCCTTGGCTGAGCCTCTGTATCCATGGTGTAAATGGAATTGATAAATGGTGCTCGTCTACGTTTTCCAAGAAAAAGTAGTGCTCTCTTAGTCCTGATCGATTTATTTGACCTGTATGATCTTTTACTTACACATTCTCACGCTCTATGATGAACGTTGACTGCGTAGCCTCACATTCTAGCTTTGGAACTGCTACGAAGTGAAGACGGGCGTGTATGCACTCACAAACAGAAATAGGGGGTTGCGTGCATGACTTAGAATAGACAAAGAAATGGTGACAAGTTTTGATGTGAGCGTTGAAGTTTGACGTAAGTTTACGTTTTTTTTTCCCGCTGAAGCATTTTTCTTCTTTACACGTGAAACGTGAAACGAACGGATTTTCACAGAGCAGGAGTTTACCATCAGAAAAAGCACGGAGACTGCTACAATAAGGCGCGGCGCCAACATCCTCTTCAACCACAGCAAAAGTAATGACCTATAGTATGAGTTTTGAAGCTCGAGAAGCTTTTCACCAGTAGTAGAAGAAACGCCCGAAGGCATATGGTGACCGGAACATAAAGTAGTGCTTCCTTCATTATGCGGTCCACTAACATGAATGATTTACTCAACATGAAGGTTCAGCCTCTGTACTAACAATTTTAACCAACATGAAGGAAAGTTTATCGCTTATGACGCCAACTTTAGTTTGAATTGGAATTCCTGGATTACTCGACTTTCTTTTCGTTGTATATGTATTGAAGAATTGCCTGACCTACACAAAGAATGACGCTTAAGTACTACAAAGAATCTGAACGGCGCGAACGCGGCCAGTTCTTTTTGGGAAGGCAAAGTAAGTAGCTGTAGCTAGACTCGAGTGTATAATCAGCATACTTCCAAGTGAGATGGACAAGGTGGTGACATCACAACAAGCTCTGCGCAGTGGATGATCCAAGGGACAGAAATGAGAAAAATAGTCGTGCCCTGCGCTCTATTTCTGTAAGCGATTTTTGTTTTGTGGTGTTCCTGTGGTCTGACCTCGCACAAGGAAGCTGCTCTCGTGAATCGTGGCAATGGTCTGCCGTATGTGCTATTGAGTTTGCCTGCTTTGCTGCTCTTGCTCTTCTCCGTTTCGATCCAAAATGAGAAGCGAAGCTAATATTAGACCGGAAATGTCAAACACCTTTTCTTTGTGCAGTCGACATTTAGAGACCCAAACTTTCCTGAGGTGAAGAAGAATGACGAACACGACGATGGAAATGCAACGAGCCCTCTTCTAAAGTAGTTAAAACTAATGCATAGGTAGCGATATCCCGGCAGTCTTGGATCTCTATTGCAAAACTTGATTGGAGTCGAGCATGTGCTTATCCTGGTTGTATCTCAAACACCCTCTTTCATTGTTCTGCAGCGGAGCCCAGCAAGTACTTCCGTTCATCACTGTAACGTAGCCATGTGTAAGCCCACGGATGAGTAGTACTTACAAGTCTCTAGCTTGTATTGCAGACATGCATTACATGCCAAAAAAAATGCCAATTTTCTTAAGGTAAAAGCGCGCCTTTTTAGTGCTAATTCGAGTCATTTTAGTGCAAAACTGGTCTTGTTAAGTCAAAAGAGACGAAAACGACGAAAATGCGCACGGTGGCTTCACCTAGTTAAGCCCATGACTCGCAACCCTCTAATAGAATTGATAGCCGGAAAACTTCCCCGGAGACCTTCGGGGGACAGAAGCGCGATAATTTGGCAAACGAAGAGCCTCTGAAAAGTATTTTTCGAAAAGTGCATCTGAGGCGCATCTGAGAGCTAGCGTTTGAAAAGTGAAAAATCAGTGATTTTTCACTTTTTCAAAATTTTCTGAAGTCGACGGAGCGTGCAACTCTTTCCAGGTTGACAAGTTTCGAAAAGTGGAAATCATTTAGAAGTGAAAAAGCACTGACTTTATTCTACTTCTCAATGATTTTCATTCCGGAAGAGTGAACGCGGCCTCGACTCGCGAAAATTTTCAAAAAGTGAAAAATCACTGATTTTTCACTTTTTGAAAAGTTTCACACACTCTGAGAAACGCGGCTACGACTCCAGAGTGAAAATTTTCAAAAAGTGAAAAATCAGTGATTTTCACCTTTGAAAAATTTTCATTTTGGAGTTCAAGCCGCGCTCACCCTTCTCAGAGTGAAAATTTTCAAAAAGTGAAAAATCACTGATTTTTCACTACTTTTCTCGAAGGTACCCGTGGTCTCGAAGGCCTCCGTGGCCACGGGTACCTTCGAGAAAAGTAGTGAAAAATCAGTGATTTTTCACTTTTGAAAAATTTTCACTTTTGAGGCGAAGCCGCGTTTCTCAGAGTGTATGAAAATTTTCAAAAAGTGAAAAATCACTGATTTTCCACTTTTGAAAAAATTTCACTTTGGGGCCTCGACTCCAGAAAATTTTCAAAAAGTGAAAAATCACTGACTTTTCACTTTTGAAAGATTCCCACTCTGGAGGCGAAGTCGCGTTCACTCTTCCCAGAGTGAAGCAAGGCCGTCGGGCCGGTGGGCAAGTTTGTGAAAGCGCCTCGCGCTGCTCTTCCGCGATTTCTTAACTACTTATGAGCGAGCTGTAGGAGGCCTTGAGTTAATTTGGGCAGCGGCTCCTGTTCATGCGAGCAAGCTGCAGACTTGCAGTGTCCCTCCGATCCTCGCACTGTTGGAAAGGCTTTTTGAGTCTCAGACGAACGAAAAAGCGCGCGCAAACTATCGAACTTGCGCGATTTTTGTCCCTCGAAGGCGTCCGGAGAAATTTTCCGGCGAAAAGGAAGGGGCTTTTGCGAGTCATGTTTAAGCCTAAAAATTGCGCAAATGCGCAAAAATGCAAAAACTAAAACAAAAAGGCCGCAAATTTATCAAACTAGGCACAAAAGTGCGCCACTTTGCGCATTCTCTAAAAATGCGCAAAATCGCTACAAGGCGCGCGCCGATGATTTTGCAGAGGTTCGCAGCGCGCTGGCGTTGTCGCACCCGTAGAGCCAACTGCCGGCAGTTTGGTTGCGCTTAAGACCAAAATTCGCCGAAAGAGCTCCTCTCAGCTCAAAAAAGAACAAAAACGCGACAAAATAAACGAAATACGACAAAAAGACAGCGAAAGAAACCAACCCAAGGCACTTTGGTCGTTTTTAGGTCCAGCATGCGCCGAGCGCGCTCCTTTTGGCTCGAAAAGGCGCAAAAGCGCAACAAAATAGAGGACAAAAGCAGCGGAAAGACAACAAAAATGGACGGCAAAGACAAAACGAGGACAATGTCGCCTCTCTTAGCGCAAAACTTAAGCGACTGCGACGCTTCTCGGGCTTGATAACTCGAAAATGGGCAAAATCTGCAAGCTGTAGCGCAAAAAGGGCAAAAATGCCACACAAGTGCAGAAAAAAAGCAAAAAACGCCAGCGAGCAACTCCGCTGCGCTCAGGTATGCAAGCAGAAAAACGCCGCGCGGTCATCACCTAGAGCCGAAAGCGCTAAAATACCGCCCACACCAAGAAGCAGGCCGCTGGCTGGCAAGACGCACCGGCCTCCGGGATTACATTACATGCCAAACCAGCAACAAGGCGCGCGTCGATGATTTTGCAGAGGTGCGCAGCGCGCTGGCGTGGCCGCACCCGTCGACCCAACCTCCGGCAGTAAGTTTGGTTGCACTTAGGACCAAAATTCGCCAAAAGACCTCCCCTCAGCTCAAAAAAGCGCAAAAACGCGGCAAAATGAACGAAATACGGCAAAAAGACAACGAAAGAAACCAGCCCCAGACACTTTGGTCGTTGTTAGGTCCAACATGCGCCGAACGAGCTCCCTTTGGCTCGAAAAGGCGCAATAACGCAACAAAATAGAGGGCAAAAGCAGCGAAAAGACAACAAAAATGGACGGCAAAGACAAAGCGAGGACACTGTCGCCACTTTTAGCGCAAAAATTTAGCGGCTGCGACGCCTCTCGTGCTTGATAGGTCGAAAATGGGCAAAATCTGCAAGCTGTAGAGCAAAAAGGGCAAAAGCGCCACGCCAATGCAGAAAAAGAGCAAAAACGCCAGCAAGCCACGCACTCCGCTGCGCTCAGGTATGCAGAAAAACGCCACGCGGTCATCACCTAGAGCCAAAAACGCTAAAACACCGCCCACACCAAGAAGCAGGCCGCTGGCTGGCAAGGCGCGCCGGCCTCCGGGATTGCATTACATGCCAAACCAGCAAAAGGCCGCAAGGGCGCGCGGCTTTTCGCTGCTCTTTCAGGCTGCTTCGCGTATTAACTTGCACGGACGCCAAAAAAAGTTAGAGCCTTCTGAAAGCAAAGGCGGACCCTTTTGATGCTAATTAGGCCCGTTCTAGTGCAAAATAAACGGGTCGCGCTAAGTTAAAAAACCAAAAACATTTTTACACGCAAAGGAAGACAGCGCCGAAATTTTTCGCGAACGTGGGGGAGGCGAAGCCCCCCGGCAGCGCAAGCTTGCGCGCGCTGCAAAAATTCAAAAAAAGTTTCTTTTTTCATTCGTTCCAATTGTCAGAAGACCGGTGGTCTGATGTTCCACGATGAAGATCCTCGCTGTTTTGGTCCCGTTTGGACGCAAGAAGATGATCTAGATGATGATCAGACGATGATGTACATAGCACCTGTCTCAACACAAGATGAAGATGTACACTCGCAGTGCACCGATGCAAGTGCATGAACTCAGTGGATTCATTTGGAACGTTGTACACTTTCACAGGCTTAGGAGTTGCAGGGCTGAAGGCTCTCAGAACGTAAACACACACAACCCGCATGCGACCACGCGTGCTATGTACTTCGCGCGCTACATCTGGATCTGTGTCAACGTCGTGAGTTCACCCACAGCAACCAGTGACCATGTCGCATCCATCGTGTCTCGAGTGAGAGTCTGGGGTTTGGGGTTTGGGGTTTGGGGTTTGGGGTTTAGGGTTTAGGGTTTAGGGTTTAGGGTTTGGGGTTTAGGGTTTAGGGTTTAGGGTTTAGGGTTTGGGGTTTAGGGTTTAGGGTTTGGGGTTTAGGGTTTGGGGTTTAGGGTTTAGGGTTTGGGGTTTAGGGTTTAGGGTTTAGGGTTTAGGGTTTAGGGTTT